CATTTGAATTTCAGAATTTATTCGATTGATTTCTTGAAAAATATTAGCCCAAATTGTCAGGCTGATAATAAATTCAAAATTTTTTACATCATGTAGCAGATGTCCTGCTTCGTACTTTGATAAATAATTAATTTTGAAACAGTAATATAGTGCTTTGAAAGATAATTAATTTCTTTCAAGGATTTTATTACTTCTGTTAAATTCGTTAGAAGGGCTTTCACAGCCACATATTTTGACGACCATCTCGTCTGGCTGCTTCCTTTTGAGTTGGTTTTTGTACACCTTTTCGTAATATCCCATCGAATAGTGAATTCGTCAAAAAAGCTAAATATCTTCTGGATAATTGCAAAGAAATTAACTGTTTCGGGGCAAGACGAGGCAGAAAGCACACAGACAAGATTCAAAGAGTGAGAGAAACATCGCACATATTCCGGCCAGCTTATTCATTTCTGTAATCCTGGCTTGTACTCCAGGATCTAATGTACCGCTATGTACAGGCCATGTTAGATCCGTAATCCTCAAATTGACCACGACATTATCAATATCCAAACCATCAAGTGTCAGTTTTTTCACAATCCGTTGAGAAATACATTCTCCTGTCTTTCCTCCAATTTCTATGAAATCAATAAAGCTCTCCTTTATTTCACACACATCCCCACATATTTTTTACGTATTGAATCACCTGGCTCATTTGTTCTGTATGCGACACATCTGGAATACAATCGAACATTATTGTGTAATATTTGGCTTCTATAATATCATATAAAATGCTATTGCGAACTGTTTTCGTCATTACATCAGTAATTTCATTTTGAATTATCTTTGTTAAATATGATACTTGGCCCTTCTTTAGGTATTCTAACTGGTACTTAAGAGTTATGTTTGACTAGCAGAGTCATTTAATTCAAAAAATTGCCTTGACTAGGCGGAGGACACTTTGTGAGCAGACTGCCAGGGGTTTCATCAGACCCACGGAAAGAAAGACAGTTTGTTGAAAGATACAATACAGCATCCATACTCACCTGTAGGATCTTTCTCCATTTTTCTTTCTCTGTGTGAATTAGTCTCTTAATGTCATGATGCCTCGACACTATTTCATTTGTTGTAGTCTTTCCACCACTTAATCATGCACTCTCTGTAGTATTTCAGATATTTCGTGCTCAGTTAACCTTTCTAAAGCTTTTTTCCAATTAGTGAATCCTGTAGTACACAATGCTGATTTAACGGCAGTGGCATGTTTCTGATAAATCTCACAGGGTGTACAAAAATAGCATTTTTAATTTTAGAATATATAATCCAAGATCTTTTTTAAACCTTTCATTATTTGCTAATGATCTGTGCCACAATGAAGATGTCAAATGTCTTCCATCACGTTCAGTGTACCTAAGGTCTACGTTGTTGGATATTTTTCGGCTAATAGGAGAGCTAACAGGAGATGCCGCCTGGGGCACAGACCCCGGCTTGCCCCCCTAGATCCGGGACTGCTACTATTACAGGACAGCTTTATACAGAAGTTCTTGTCCGACACCGAAAAAGAATTCCCAGAGTACGTCCCAGTTTTCGACAGAATGGGTGTTGGTTTCTGTTGCATGACAACGCCCGCCCACACATTGCGTTGTCAGTGAACAGGGTTTTGGACAAGCATGAGGTCATGGAGCTGCATCATCCGCCATACTCTTCTGACTTGGTCCCCGCAGACTTCTTTTTGTTTCCCAAACTCAAAACTGTGATCAAAGGAACAGGCTTTGTGGATGCTGAAAATTTCAAGAAGAACGTGACGTCAACATTGAAGAGCCTTCCGAAAGAGGACTTTAAAGTTGTTTCCACAACTTATACAGCCGAGCACAGAAGTGTATTACGGCAGATGGGGATTACTTTGAAACATATTAAAAGGTTACGTTTTTTACATAATCTGTTCTGGTGTTGTTAGAGTAGTCCTGGAAATTAACAGCCTTACCTTGTATAAAGTGTTCATTAGATTTTGGGTAAAACTGGACAGTCAGAAATAGTACTTTACAGTAAGTTCATAACAGTTTTTAATGGACCACCTGAGGTGGTACTTTACTTAAAGACTAATCAGTTTTTAATGAAAATCTATATTAAAATATAATCTAAAACTTTTTAATTTTAGTATTTAAGACTTTTATATCAATGGAAAGAACATGTTAGATTTGAGCCGAAATTGATAAATCAGAAGTGATATTATATCTGAAGCTTTGAACATATTTTCTTGTACAAATATGTTATGAGGTAATCTAAAACGTCTCAGATTTGGATTTGGTGTTTAAAATAGGTATGTGATTCATAATAACATATTACATTTATGAGCATTAAATGTATTTTTTAGATTTATGCTAAATGCAGTGCAAATAAGCTCATGAAGACAAGTGCTCATTGTAAAGCAATTTAAATGTATTAGCCGCAGTCTTCAGTTTTGTGTTTGTTTCACTTCTGTGTGAAATTACTTTTCAAATAAAAGGATGTTGCCACCAAATGTTATCTCTGTGAATTATTTTTAGAGAATTAATATGACAGATATAAATAATATAAAAAGAAATATAGGCAACAATTTATCAGAATTTCTAAAGATATGCCCAGGCAGCACGTCTCCAAAAATATACGTATAATTTTGGTGAAATAAGGGTATGGTATTTTTTGCACGTTACTTTTACGAAATTTATACGAATGAAAAAGGCTGAAGTTACTGTTAACTCTTGATCGTTATTTTCCACACGTTATTTTTACGAAAATTATACGAATCCGAATGTACTGATAAAACTACCGCCATGATGGTATATTTTATTCGTCACTTTTACGCATATTATACGAATCCGAATGTTCTGAAAGAAACTACTGCCTTTATGGTATATTTCATTCGTCACTTTTACGTCTTTTACTTTTACGAAGTCTAAAAAGATTGAAAATGAAGTTTATTAATTCAAAATATTTAGTGTATTTCTGGCATTTCACTTTGTTTTCCTTGTCCACGAACATGAAAAAAGGGGCATTCATATATGAGGCTAAAATTTTTCTATAAATTTTAACATGTGAGCTAAATCTTTACGTGCATTTTTGCAAAAAATTATATTTTCTTAATTCAAACATCTTCAAAATAACTTATTTATTTTCTTATATCAAATTTGTTATTTTTATTCATATCAACACTTATATTAATTTACACAATTTAATTTCTTTTATGAAAATCCTATTACCCATTTAACTGGAATAAGCTGTATATTAAATTTGTGTACTTACCGAGTTTGGTACAATACTCTCCTTATTTTATTTAGCAAATGTGGGCAATTGAATTGGAATAAGACTAGCAAATCTTTCATGTCGAGGAATAGAATAATAAATACAGCATAAGATGCTCGAAAACGTTTAACTTCTTGAACAACAGTTTAATGTAGACCAAAGGATCATTAATTATAATTAAAGATATACTAATATTTTTATTTAATAATAATAATAATAACTCTACGAAATTGCAAGCTGAATCCTGATATTTTACATATATTTCAGTTCCTTTAATCTTTGTTATAAAAATCATATGAGGCTAATTTTTTTAAATTTTGTTTAATGTACGGAAAAAATGATATAGCGATTTTAATAATTTTTATATGAGGAAAAAATTAATAAATAATGTAAATAAATAATTATATTATATTTTATATTTTTCCTGAAACAGTTAAAGACATTCTTAATATGGAGATCTACAGAATAAGTACAAGGGGTCCAGTTAAATTAACTCAAAATTTGCATAGTTAATTTTACGCTAACTATAAAATTAACCGGATTTACGATTATACACTGAGCATGCGCATATACACATTTCTATTTTTCGTAGAAAAATTTAATTATTACCTTAATACAGAGATGCTGTGAATATAAATTTATACAATGCAAAAGTAAGTTTATTTCATATGCTAATTTAGAGGCTTTCTTAATATGTTTAATTATAAAGAAAAAAAAAAAAAGCGTTGCAATTCTTGTTCACTGACCAATGGCAAAGCAGAGACAACTTTCTACTTCCGGTTGTGGCGGGATATTTGTGAAGTCAGCACTCAACAATGGCGGTCGAAAAGAATGGTAAAGTCGCAAGGAATACTGTTTGTTCGTGGATTGGCGTTTGTGACAGAATCCATCGATGTTAGTTCTCACTAAGTATTTTTGAAGAAAGTAAGTGAATATTTTATATTTTCAGTGTTTAATACTCGTACTTTTTTCACCTATATAAAATTTTATAAATAGCGTCTGTGTAGGAAATGTGATTTTCCTATGTGTTTGTTCTTTTGTGTAAGCGTGCCTAATGATTCATTTTCAGGATTTGGTACTGTTAAACACAGAATTCAAGAAATTTAAGCACTAGTCACTGTTTCTTTCTTACTGTTTTCTGTCACTTCCTTTTTGTATGTGTCTCACCTTTTTATAGTTATATTATTTTTACTCAAACGTTTTAATATTTATCTTAAAGCATACTGTAATTAAGCAGGAAATAGCTTTTAATGGAAAAAGAAAGGCAATATTAACATGACTAATTGTTCAGAAATCTGTTCTGAAAAATATGGCCCTTGAAATGTTATCTACCTTATGCCAAAAAATAAAGCATGTAACTTTCATTTATTTATGAAATTTATGCAAAATTTTTTTATTTGCTTAGTGTTTTCCCTAAAAATAATTTAATTTCTTATTTTTGAATTTAGTTTTATAAATTTGCTTTAATATATAATCTTTAACTCAAAGATATTGTGCTATTAAAAAAGGAAACTTTTATGCCATAGAAACACAAGTACTTTCGCTCCAAATCTGTGTTCATTTTTTTTTTTTTTTTTTTTTTTTGTATATATATATAGATATATAATATATATATATACTGAATTTTATGCACTAGTAATTACTGAAATATATCCTTTCATGAATAATAAGTAAGTCCTAAGTCCTTTCATGAATGCATTTCTTTTTTGTTTGTTTGATTTTGTTGTTTTAAAAGATCTGCCATAGTTAAAGAAAGAAAATAAAGTAAGAATGCTTTACTTTCAGTTTTGAATAAATTTATTACTATTTACTGCAGCTTCAAGTTTCTCTAAACATAATTTTCGAAGTCAAAACTTGATAGTTATGTTGATTATTAGACTTGCATGAAAACATTTATTGAAAAATTAGTATTTGATCTAAAATACCTTAAATTATTTGAATTATATTTTACTAAATCATGTCTTTTGATATAACTAAATAGTTAAAAAAATTTAAATTGTAAATGTGCAGAAATGCTTATATAAAACCAAAAAATTGTTTATATTTTTGTTGCTTTTTCCCTTGTAAATTAATTATATATATATATATATATTACAGTCTGAGGAGTCAGCACCCTGCTGAATTGTAGTAAACGAGACGTCCAATCTACTAGACCATCAAAGATGCAGATTTGGATTTTCTATTTCATAGTTATTGAAATCATAATGGTATGTTTGTTTAAATTAGTACTGTTTATGAATGTGATAAAAATAAATTCTGATAAGATAAGAAATGATTTATTTTCTATTAATTATGAACTGTAAATAATGTAACCAATTTTCTTCATAGTATATTTACTAAACATTTTTTTTTTTTTTTTTTTTTTTATAAAAGGGAGGTAGTCTTATTTATACAATTCTTGCAGAGATACCAAGAAATAAAACATTTCAGGAATTTTCACTCGGTATATCTTGATGTGTAAAATCGTGTTGTTCAATGCCATATTACTTTTTCACAGGAAAGTAATTTTATTGATCTAACATCTGCATAAATCAAACTTTTTTAAGAATGATTACAGTTTCTAAGCTAACTTAAAATTTTCAGATTTAGAAAATGTATGTTTAATGTAGTGGAATAGAAAAGGTTTTCAAAATGTTCAGTTGTTAGAGGGAAATAATATAAATGAGATTGTCCTGATACAGTTTCAGCTGGAAATGAAACTGAATTTTTGGATAGTGAAGATTTCATTTAAGAATTCTGATAAAACTGATTAATGTAAATCCTCTGCATTTAAAAATTCTAATAAAACTGATTAATGTAAATCCTGTGCATTTAAGAATTCTAATAAAACTGATTAATGTAAATCCTCTGCATTTAAGAATTCTAATGAAACTGAATAATGTAAATCCTATGATTCATGTAGGTATTCTTCTGTTATCAGGAGATTCAGAAATGTGTGTTTATATGCATGCATTTTTAAATGTAGGTGCTCGTGTGTGCATGTGTATATTCTTTATGTATGTATGTGTATATGCGCATACATGCATATACACATGCTTACATATCTACAGTGGAACCCCGAGATACGAGTTTAATTCGTTCCAGCATTCAACTGGTATAGCGAATTTCTCGTATCTAGAAACAAGCTTCCCCATTGAAAATAATGGAAATTCAGTTAACCCGTTCCACACCCCAAAAAATATCAACATTTTAATATCAAGTCAATTTTTCCTAATAAATAACACTGGTAAATATATAAAACATAGTTTAACTTTGTTACCAACATTTTAACTCATTCTCATTAATCCACACCAACAACAGCTTCTCAACATCTAGGAGTACTTTTATGGTGCTTGGAAGCAACGATAATTCCTTTGGCTACATCAGGTTTCTTAATTTCTTCCTGCTTCTTCAGAATAGTATAGATTTTCGATGTTGAAAGGCCGCAAGTCTTCGCCAATTCCGTCACCATGCTTACGTTTATCTACGATCGATTTCTTGCTATCGACGGCCATGGCCTCCTTATTTTTCTTTGCAGCACTATCTGAGGCAACAATCTTCTTGCGAGGCATCTTGAAATAATTATTTTCACGTTAAATGTCAAAACACTTAACTTGCAAGTGCACAAACACGTATATAAAAGAACACTGAGTGATCTGACGAGGGGATTCCCCGAGTTGAGCCGGATAGGGAAATGGCGCCACCCATACCAACAGCCTGGCTCATTGCTCGTTACTCGAATTAATCTCGTATTTTGCTCATACTTTCCTCGTATCTCGAGGTTTCATTGTACATTTCTGAATCCCGTCCTAATAACGGAGGAGTACCTTTGCCAGTATTGCAACAGAGCTAGAATGAATTATTGTGTTAAATATGTGGAAATTGCATGCTTAAAGTACTGTTATTTTCTAAAAATATTATGTATGTCTATTTTTTACAAGAAGAAAAAATAGCTAAAAGCTGTTAATTTACTCGGATTTATTAGTCCAAAGGGGCTTTGTCCCTAAAGAACTATTGTTTTTGTTTTGCATTGGTTCACTATAAATATCTGTTTTACTTTTCAAACTGTTCCTACCAAATGTTAGAGTCCCTAGTGTGGGATTAATACTCTCTATCTTAGTGCCCTCTATAACCTATGTTAGGGTTAACCTGTATAACCTACAAGGATTGCCAGTTTAGGCGAGATATCTAGGTAGTCATCATGATACGTACCTTATTTTTTATTATTTTAAAATTAAATTGAAAGTAATAAACTAGTTTTCAAAAATGGAGTTAAAACTAGATTTGCATTCAACTCTGGTTTATTGTATTAATGATGTTTTGCTGTAACAAATATGAATTTTTTGTTTAAATATAATAATTTAAAATGTTTTTTCTAGAGAATGAAGTACTGCCACTAAGGTAAAGGTGCTAACTTGCAAGGTAATTTTCTATTCTACATTAACTCAATCTTTATGTCCTGTTACAGATATATTGGCAGAAATAATGAAAACCTGACATTCAAAAAGAAAAATAATAATGTTGAATGTAGTATATTAGATGGTTAACTGAGGTTTGGCAACTCATTAATAATCTTACACATATTGAGTACGAATAACTTTGACTATTACCGGTATTTTCAATAGTATAAAATTAGGCAAGAAAGCAGTTTTAGCTTAGCACCGATTTTAAATACAACTCTCTTACCAATATTGGTTTGACGAAGGTAAAATATAATTGAATTTAATAAGTTGGAAATACTGTCTGTCTTTCCATGAGTTAAAAAATAATTTCAAATAAAATTTCTTTTTTTTTCAGTTTTTCATGTTATTTGTTTAATGTTATTGTAATCTGATTTATCATATTTAGTCACATATTCCATCCCTCTTTGCACTATAGTATATAATTCAAAGGACTTATCAGTTTCAGCAATATTTTTTTTACCAGTATACATTTTTACCATAACTCTGTTTCTAAATCATATCCTGAAAAATTAAGGAGTAAAGTACACAAAGAAGGAAATCTTTGCACCCAAATGGTTAAAGCCCTAGTGTGACTTTGGTACTTTGATCTAACTTCTATTCCTAATAAATAATCCAGCTGCATACAGTTTACTCAATTTCTGCCATGTGTAAGGTAAACAATATTAGCTTTTTTTAAATATATCTTTTACAACTATTCCATCAGGTAGATTTCTTTCATATTTTGTCTTAATTGAGTCATCCTGCTAATTAAGAATTTATTAAAGTTAATATGTTAAGTTTTTGTGTGTATAATTCATTTTAAGTATGTGCAAGCAAATGCATATATTAACAGTTACATAGAATTATGTTTTGGGTATCTAATTCAGAAAATTTGGGGCTGTTTTTAGAAGATTTATTAATGATTTATACTATATTAATATTGGTAAAAAATTTCTGTGGCTTTTATATGAGAGTATATATTTTAAAATAGCTGCATGATATGGTAGAGGTAAAAAGCTTCATGTGGATCATAAATTAATATTATGTGGCAATTTTTCATTTATTTAATAAAGAAAATATTCAAGCCACAATTAAAATTTTTTCACTGGATTATTGCATAAGTTTGCAGCAAATATTTCCTGCAACAGAAGTGACAATTTTTATTTTGCCAAGACAGGAAATTTAGTTAGTGAAAGCAGTAACCCTATTTTGAGATGTTAAACAGGAAGGCAAATTTTTGAATTTAAATTGATTTTTGAAGGAAGACTTATTTAGTCTTGCTATCATTCTACGTGGCTCTTAACTTTTTTATGGTATTTATAATTTTATTGTTATTCAGCATTCTGTTTGCTTAGAATGCACATGAATGTAGACTTGAAATATTTTATATTGCAAACTGAGATGCCATTGTTATCATAATTAAAGATTTTTTGCTCTGATTTTGGAGGAATTTACTGATAATACTTTTGATTGTGTATTGGTTTCTGGTTTATTGAAATGTGTAAAAAGCCTGTTAATGCATATACGTATGTTAATGACATGTATATGTTTATGAAGTATTCTCTTATATGTATATAGTGTTGTGATTAGTTTTTTCTGCTTACTCTTTATTTAAGAAAAAGTTATCTGTAAGAAAGCGAATATTCTTTACTATATGTAGGAGTAAAATTGAAAAGGCTAATGCAATATAATTAATACAAAATTAAGTTTTTTCTCATGTACTTAAATACAAACATAGCCATTAAAGACTTTCTCAACCTTGCAGTTCTAAACAAATCTTAAGTATTTTTCACTTGAAATTATAGGCATTGTGTAAGGTATATAATTGAAGCTTACTATGTGATAGCGTGAAATTAAATTTTTAATTACTGAAATGTAAATTTTTAAATATGAAATACTCAGTGCATTTTATATGCATCTTTTAATACTTCAACTATATTTAAAAACTGAAAACATCTGAAGTGTGAAATTATTACAAATTTTTCTTTTTCTTGTTTAGGAGCTGTTCTCAAAACATTGGGTGACAAAGAATTCACTTTTACAAAAATCGAGCAGGATATTAAAGACGGCGAACTATAGAACAAATATGGCAAAGCTGCATAAAGTCTATGTTGAATTTTAATTCAGATTTAATGTTAGTTTTTATTGTTTAACAGTAATTGCAGTTTTTGAATACCTGTAAAATAAACCTAATTCTTAAATTAATTTCATGTGTATTTCTTTTGCAAGTATTACAGTTCATAATACTTCAAACAACTTGAAATTTTATACTTCTTAATTTATGTGGAATATGTTCATAATAATTTTATAATTTAAATAACTCATTGTCATCATATGAGCATAATCTAAAATGCACAGCGTTTGACAACAAATTAATAAAAAATTAGCCAACTTCTAATTGCTTTCTTTTGTCCAGTTGCCTCTTTTTAAATCATTTAATAGCATAAAGCTATTTGATGAAAAAAAAAATAATTTGGTATGTCCACACATCAACATGCACATTTATAATGATGTTATAGAAAAAGTCACATGAGATAAATATTAAAAAATTCAATATTCCTAAACAAATTAACTTTTTGAAATTTTATCTGGTATATAAGATAAAATAAAGAACATATTTAGGTAATTTTGAATTTGCATAATCTTATGAACTTATTTATGAAATTGACAGTTACCTTGTAAAAGGGAACTTTTTAAAAATACCTCAATAAAGCATTTCTTTTGTAGAGGTGAACTTTTAGTACTGATCTAATATATTTATAAGATTTTAAACTGAAAAAGACAACAATAATAGATTACAATACATTGCAAGATTGACTGATAAATGTAAAATTTTTACATATCATTATTATGTGTGTAATTAAAACAGAAGCTACTCGATTAACTTGCATGCAAATTAATATTTTCTTTAACATGTTTGGGATAAACTGAATTTTAATAAATAAATATGTATATATTTGTGTATTATCTGAAGATATGAATGAAATATTTGTGACATTAAACATTCATCTTCAAGGAAAATAACAAAGTCAACTTGGTAAACTATTGGAAAAGGTAAGTTTTTATACAATTTCCTGGTCTATATTTAACAATTTTAAAATTTAGCACACTCATTCAAATAATCTAAACGTATGATGTTTTTCTTTTTGTGCTACATTCGTTTACTGAATTGTTTAATTAACTATATTGTACTTTAGATAGAAATTAACGTAGATATTCCTTGTATTTTACGGTGCAAAAACTTATATATTTGATAATAATTGACCTAAATCTTCCCTATGTTTTCTTTGTATATACGAATGACTTTGGTAAAAATTTAGCCTGATGTCTTCTCCTCTTTACTGTGTAAAGTGCACATTTTTGGTAAAAAATTTGCATAAATCTCCAATTACCTATTTACTGCATTTTTCGTAAAATGTGCTTATTTTAATCTCTTATTTTTTATATAAATCTATGCAAAAATGTTCTGCATATTATGATTAAAAGATAAAATTAATTTAATATCAAATTTTTACATATCCACCTTTTAGGTATGTACAGCAATATGGAATATATATAACTGGAAAATTTAAATGCAAAAAAATTAATTTCTATTCAAAAATTACATAACACTAAAAGGCTGAAAATCACTTTTAATATTTCATTTAAAAGTGACTACAATATATGCAATAAATTTTGTAAACCTGAGTTCTATGTTTTAAATCAATTAATGCTATCGTTCATTTACATGGCATAAGAAAATGTCCTTCGGAAAAGCAAATAATTTATTTAAAGTGTTATTTAGTAAACAACTGTTTGCTACAGTTGTTTACTAAATTTAAATTTATGAAATGAATTTAGTAAACAAAAATGCAAATGAATGATAGCATTAATTGATTTAAAACACAGAATTGATGTTTACAAAATTTATTGCATATTTTGTAGTCACTTTGAAATGAAATATTAAAAGTAATTTTCAGCCTTTAAGTGTTACATAATTTTTTAATAGATTTTTTTTTTTTTTCATTTACTAGTGTATTTAAATTTTCCAGTTATATATATTCCATATTGCTGTACATAACTAAAAGGCAGATATGTAAGAATTTGATATAAAAATTATTTTACCTTTTAATCATAGCATACAGAACGTTTTTGCATAGATTTATATAAAAAATATGAGATTAAAATAAGTACATTTTATGAAAAATTCAGTGAAAAGGTAATTGGAGATTTATGCAAATTTTTTACCAAAAAATGTGCATTTATACACAGTAAAGTGGAGAATACATCGGATTAAATTTTTACCAGTCATTCGCATATGCAAAGAAAACATAGGGAAGGTTTAGGTCAATTACTATCAAATATATACTTTTTGTACCGTAAATTACGGGAAATATATACGTTAATTTCTATCAAATATATACGTTTTTGTACCGCAAAATACGGGGAATATCTACCTTAATTTTTACCTAATATATACGTTTATATACAGTAAAAAATCGGGGAAATTTACGTAAATTTTTACTAAATATATACGCATACATGAAGCAAAAAATTGAGATTTACGTATATGCGATAAATATACGTAAATTTTTACTAAAAATATACGTAAATCCCAGAAATTTACGTATATTATACGTAAAAGTAGCGAATGAACAGTAGTCTCTCGCGTAAATATACCTAAATTTTACGTAAAAGTTACGTATAGTATAACGTAAAAATATACGTAAATATTTAGTAATTGCCACTGGACACTTTTTATGATATTTTTACGTTCAACTTGAACGTTTTTTATAGGAAAGGCCATTCGTAAATTGCACGTATTTTTCTCGTGCAATTTACGAATGCATGCTGCCTGGGTGATGTTTTTAAAAATTTATTGATTTGTGAATCTGAAACGCTCTGATGACCAGATGACATACCACAATCCATGTGATATTTTCAAATCAAAGCATGGGAACGAATGTGTACATGAGCACATACAGTTATCAGTATATGGGAGAACAAATATACATACTAATAAAAAATGAGTAGTAGTGTTTATAATTAACATTGAGCCATAAAATTTATAAAGAAATTAGATTTTATTTACAAACGATCAAAGGAATGTGATAGTTTATTTAAAGCTCCTTGCAATTATTGGTTATGTACTGGCGCAGCTGGTTATGTATTGACCGCATAAGATTTTTTTTTTAAATAAGGCCCATTTTAATGTTTTGTGTTCTTCATTTAACTTCATTTTTATTTATCATTTGCAATTCGCATTTATCATACTGGCTGAAACCATTCCATCAAAATTTTTGTTTCCAACATGACATAATTTTGCATTATGTGGCCTTTTGAAAGAATCTAGAGAATAACTTATTTTCTGATTATTTATTCCGAGCGTGTTTTTAAGCATTACCTTTCCTAAAGCATATCAGAAGGCCATTGCCATCTCCTAGATCTAATCTTACCAGGCTCATTAACTACAGGAAATGCTTTCGGAATAATTTGTTTAAAATGACCATATCTATGTTCCTGTACTTTATTTTTAATAAACATTTATCATTATTCTTTTATCAGTCTGTCTGTTACAGATGAGTAAGCATAATTTATGAGGCAAGAATATCATAAAAATAAAAACGTTCCGGTGACTTCGAAAAATTTCAAAATTTAATCCAGATTCATTCAAACTTTAGTCTTAAAAATTTTAAGTAATTTGCCAGTATACCATAATTTTGCGCTATGCCAATTGAGATCAGAGCTCTTTTTTTAATCACCTTACCGATGGATAAGGCACAAAGTACCAGTACCCTGTTCTGAATTCCGTTTTGGGGGCTGACTGAGTTGGACGTAGGATTTTCATGATTTCTTCTATACGTAAGGAAGCATAAGCCACTTTTCTATCGAAAGACCTTCACAAACGCGTTCCTTAATTTCAGAGTTTCGTTGTTATTTCATGAATAAATATGATGACAGGAAAACTGCTTCGCAGTCCTGCATTAAATCAGCTATTATTTACATAACCTTCACTATATTATTACTTAAGTTCATGTAGAATCTTTAAAAAGACATGCATTCTGCGAAAATGCCTGCTAGCCATTTTAATTCAACAAAGCTTCTTAGATGGAAGACTTCAGAAACTGAAAATCATGTAATATTTTTTTAAAAATTTGCATGCATTAAAGAGCCAAAACATTATGATCACCTACTCAATAATGCGTTGCGCGACCTTTGGCCTGCAAAACAGCTGCAGCTCGCCCTTGCCATCGATGCCACAAGTTCTTGGTAGTTATTTGAGCAACGATCACGCAAAGTATTTTGACATGGTGGTGTTTGAGCTCTAAGCTGCGGCTGCATGATATCCTAAATGTGCACTGTCGGGTTAAGGGCGGCGAGTTAGATGGCCAGGACATTAACTGGAATTCATTGTTATGCTCCTCGAACCACTGCAACACATTTCGAGCCTTGTGACATGGGGAGTTATCCTGATGGATGATTCCATTTCCAGTTGGGAAGACAGACGCCATGTAAGGATGCAATTGATCCGCAGTTATGTTCAGATAGTCTGCAGCTTTCATGGTCTGTTCTACCACAACTAAGGGCCTCAGAGCCGCCCATGTGAACTTCCCGCAAGGCATAATACCGCCACCATCAGCCTGTGTATGACCTCGCTGTGCAAGGGAAAAGTAACTGTTAGTCTGGAAGACGGCGTACCCTGACACGACAATCAACGTTATGAATGAGAAATTGCGATTAATCCTACCCGATAACTGTCTTCCGCTTATATATGGTCCAGTCTCGATGTTCCCGGGCCCTCTGTAAGTGTAACTGACAATGACGTTCAGTCAACAGAAGCACACTAGAGGGACATCTGCTGCGCAGTCCCATATCTAACAGTGTCCGCTGAACTGTTTGTTTCGAAACTCTTGCAGCTGGACTTGAATGGTATTGGGCTGTCTGGCACCAATTTTGCTGTACCAAGTGGGACAGTCTCAGATGTCCTTTTTCTTTGATGACGCGTGGACGTCCAACACCTTGGCGTCTTCTGTTGGTTTTGCCATCATTTATGCACTTTGCATAAATACTAACAACGGCATATCGTGAACAACGTACCAGTCATGAAGTTTCAGAGATACACGTTCATATATATATAAGTTATGCCAACAAAAGGAACTTACCTAAAGTAACGTGATCTTTATAAAAGCTTCGATGCGAAATTCTATGCCTTTTTAAGACGTCAA